AGGTCTCACTAAACGTGCTTGTTTCACGAGAGGATTCTAGATTTGACATCCTTGACTTTCAGGAGATTATGTCGACGAGGCAACTCGGCAAAACTTGCTCGTTTCCTTTTTTCAAGAAACTCCTGCTATGATTACTTGAGAATCTCATCCTAATTGGCATGCTTCTTGGTCGGCGTCTCGGTGTGATTGCTCGCAACTCGGGTGTCACGGAACCCTTGGCTCTGATCACCTCGCTCAGCGACATTACCTCCTCCCTGCCCAAAAGCGCCCTGGAGTGACTGCCGGGCTGACTGGCCATTGCTATTGCTGCTGCTACCCTTGCTATTGCTGTCGTCGCCACCACCTGATTTGTCCACTCGAGGCTGGTGTTGGTCGTGCTTCGTCGCGTCTCTCTTGGTTGGCGTGCCATCGTAGTTGCTAGCCACTCTCGTATCCTTGGTCTCCTTTCCAGACCCGTCCCCAGCTTTTGATCCTCCAGTGCCAAACAAGCCCTGCAGCATTCCGCTGCCATGAGAAGTGCTCGATGTACCGGGCTGGTCCTTGGCAGACATCTCAACTGAAGTTCGAACGTTGGAGCCGCCAGCGCCAACGCCGCCGCCTACTCCACCGCTGGGAAGCTTCTCGGGAGGTGCTGTGGTGCCCTCTTTGCGGTTCGAGTTGACGTGGCTAAGCTCGTGGCCGCCCGTGACGGCATTTCCTCCAATGCCGGCGCCGCTGAGCCCTTCGGCCTTTTTGGCCTCCGCGCGACCCCTGCGATCTTGCTCAGGTGTGGTTTCGGGCTTGGATCTGCCTAGATAGTAGACGCCTGCGCCGAGAGCTGCTACACCTGAAATGATGGGAACTGCAGCGGAACCTTGTTGGCCAGCACCGAAAACTGCCTTCATTTTGATGGTGTTATTAAGAAGTGAATGATGTTAGAGTGTTTAGAATTGGTGTGTTGTAGAGCAATCAATATTGAGAGGTCAGATGAGGTCAATTGGACAATGTTTGGTGAAGAGAATGGATTTCTCTCTTCTGTTTGTTTTCTACTGTCTCTGTCGTGACGTCGTTGATACAGTCATGACGGATGGGCTACTCATGATGACAACATAGACGTGTAAGTCAGTACCACAAACAGCAAGACGTCAGGCACCAGAGCAAGCCATGATGGATCTTTTATCGATAATGATGAGCCCTTTTACGAGGAGACAAAGCCATTGAGTCTCACAATCACGATGAGGTTATAAAACGGCGATTGAATGGGTAAATCATCATGATCGAGCCAAATACCATCAATGACGGCGTGAGTTGGATGTTATTCACCGACCAATAAGACTGTAAGTCTCGGACGGTCTTTTGTTCTTCCGAAAACCCCGGAAATAAGATACAGCACTGCAAGTACCGTATTTTTAGCGAGCTCACTAAGAGGCGGAACCGCGATTTAGCGTGAGACTAAACCACGGAGCCGCAGTCAACCATTGTTTCCCCTCATCTCAGGGCGTTGCAGGGGGGTTCTAGGGTTGAAGGGATCAGAATCTGGGGCAATGGGGAAAAGGGAGTTGTTCAGACTCTGGACGTTCGTTCTTGGGCTTGGACGTGACGATCGATGGACTTTTGTATTGAGAGTGGAATCAGGTGACAGTCAAAGCTGAATTGTGCTTTGACTGAGGAGATGCTCGTCGATTGATTGTTGGTAGACATACAGCATCTGTACAGTATGAAGCGCTGAATTGGAGAAGAGGGTTACATTTCTCGAGTCAGTCAACGAACGTTACAACATGTAACTGCTAAACTAACTGTATATGCAGCCATACAGAGATCAAACACTCCCAGCAGCCGGTCTTGTCTCCTCTCTCTGTCAGTGTCAGCCCAACTAAACTGGAACGCATCATAATCGACCCATCAACAAAAGCTTCCTGTCCCAGACAGACACTGACTTATACGTACCCTGCCACGTTGCCCCTACACCACTACAGCAACCTTATAGGCCTCCCCCGTAAATCTCATCATATGTACATACATCCCGTCCTACAGTGATATCCACTCATCTGGCAGCGGATCCGAAGTTCTGCTTCTGGGACCACCAACACGAACCCAACTCTAAGATGCACGGAGGTAGTACCAGTCCGGGGCCCCGGTGATCTCTGTTACGTATCCATAATATATGTACACATTTGTTGGTAATTTCGATCCTTTCCCCAGACTCAACTTTTGTAAGTGATCTTTGTTGTGCTGTCCTCCTATATCCTGTACAAGCCACTATATCTTCCCCTCACAGCAACTCGTCTGGCCGGGGAATAACCCAAAAGTCAATCTTGCCTCTCGATCTAACTAGACTATCCTCAACTAGCAATTGATACGCGTAGAACATTCACTCTCCCCCAAAAAGAACCCCCCCCCGCACAAATGCATCAACGGTGAGGCTGCTCCCTCCCTAGTCCCTGTCTCCCTCAGCCGGGCGAAGGGATCGTGTGGAGATGGTGGCATCTGAGGTTAGTAGAGCATCTTGAACTCCAACTCAAGGCCTTAGCGCTGCCAATCTAAATTCCTCTCCCGCAACGCAAACGCGCAACGCCAAGCTGGGGTAGGATGCTACTGTACACTCCTTTAGGCTGCGAGAGGTTAGACTGAGACAAAGCTCGTCGAATCGGAGAGTTAGACCTCCTTCTCCAATCCTGCTGTTGCCTTTGATGAATCGAAAACATGCCTCGACTCGGATGACACGGCGCCAATGCCAGCCAGACCCAAGACTTGTGCTTCTCGACGGACAGGCGGGCTGATCTTCCTGACGCTCAGATGCCGTTGATGTTCCTCGTCTCCTAGTGGTGGAGATCTGCGACTGAATCGACAGGCCATACAGGACCTGGGGAAACAAAAGCAAAAGCAACGTGAACCAAAGATGCAACATGGGGCCGGGTCAAAGGGTGGCGCCCCTGTTCCGTGCCAATCTGGGGGACCAGGCTTGGCTTTTGAGCTTATGTCTCCGTATTGGCTTGCAATTTATATATATTAGGGGAGCTATGGCCTGATATAAGTCCGTCCCTGTCCCTGCATCTGCATTGACTTGTTGTCTCTCCTCTTCATTACCCCATAATCTGATTTTGATTCTATATACCATTGCGACTCTTCTCCTTTTCACTAAGAAAGATCAGTCTCTTCCCAACAATCTCCCATCCTGGACGAAATCACCATCATGGCCGCTACCACTGAGCACAGCGAGCAATTCAACGAGAAGCACGATGGCCTCAATGGCTTTGACCCCGAGGCTCAACGTCTGGAGAGCTTGAACAGGCTGCGAACTGCCCAGAGTGTTCAGATGAGCCCCGAGTTGTTTGAGAAGCTTTACCTTTCGCCTATGAACAATGTCAAGGGAGACCTTCGACAGACATTTGGAAACCCTACACCTATGTACGCTCTATCGACTTCCATTTACAGTGGCATCGATTACTGACAACTATTGCAGTGCTCTTGTTGGTTTCCTCCTTGCTTTCACACCCCTGACTTGCGATCTCATGGGCTGGCGAGGCGCTGGTGGCAGTGGTGCTGCCTCAAAGTACGTCTTCATCCCCTAGCACCCCCTGTTAACCCTTCTAACATTGGTATCAGCGCCGTCTACGTCTTCATGGGCGGCCTTCTCATGATCATCGGTGGTATCCTCGAATGGGTCCTCGGCAACAGTTTCCCAGCTTGCGTCTTCTGCTCCTTCGGTGGTTTCTGGTTCTCTTACGGTGGCACTCTCATCCCTGCCTTTGCTGCCTACGCCTCTTATGCTCCCGCCGATGCCACATCCTCTGCTGAGGGCCTTGCTACTCAAGGGTTCAACGCCAGTCTTGGTGAGCCTATATCACTGTCCCGGCTGATGGTCTTTTGCTAACGATATACAGCTTTCTGGTTGCTCTTCATGGGTCTCTTATCCTTCATCTTCCTCATCTGCGCTTTCCGAACCAACGTTGTCTTCGTCATGATCTTCTTCAGCTTGACCTTCTGCTTCTTGATGATTACTGCTGCTTTCTGGGCTCTGGCCGATGACTTTACTGGAAACGCTAAGCTCGCCCAAAAGCTCCTCGTGGTATGTCTTCTCCTACACTATATGTCCGACATCTTACTAACTTGTCACAGGCTGGCGGTGCCTTTGGGTTTGTAACATGCATGTCTGGCTGGTATATCCTCGTCGCTGTCCTCTTCGCCATCGTCGACTTCCCTATCCAAATCCCTGTTGGCGACTTATCCACTGTCATCAAGGGACACAGCGAGAAGGCACGTCGTGCTTAAGTTGGATATGATGCGATTAATATGGAAAAGGGGTTGTAAGGATGATACGCACATCGGGGCATCTCCTTACTGGCGTTGGTGATGGCGTTGAATCATCCAACAATTGGAAATGGGTGGCTTCTTATCCGACTTTCGGACCTCGAGATTCGAACTTGATTTAGTTATTGGTTATAACCAAGGGATCTAGTTACTTTATTAGCGGAAAAGATAGTGAATACCAGGGACGTTTCCCATACGCTCTGCGCCACCTCAATTACTCGCTTCGTGAAGCAACACTGATTATCAAGTTCGGGAAGAATTCACATAAGTTTAGTGTCGAAAGATAGTGTCTCCTCATTCAGCTTTTTGCGCAGTCGATCTCCTTCATCTTCCACGCAAAGTTGCCGTGCGCTTACAACGAGAACTAGAAGCGATACAAGGAGTCGTACCATTATGCCATATACGATGCTCTCTAGTTAGTGAGCTTTAGAAACGAAGTTACGAGAGACTTGCCGTGTCACATGTCTTTTGTTTCTCCTTGCCCCCCTCGACGCCATGAGTACCCGTTCATGTCGTTCTTGGGCTACAAGTAATAACGTGGCTGGATGCCAGATTGAGGTTACCCGGTAAATCGCGACGAATAGGAAGATGACTTGAAAATGATGATGTATTGAGAATATCACTTTAACTCCTGTACTCCCCAAATTCTTAATCCATCTTGGGGGACTGCTTCTTGGCTCCAGCCCTTTCAGTACAGGCGCAGGATCTCTTCATGCGACGCCTTTCTTTCTGAGAAGCACCTTGACATCATCTCCGTATCTCTCAAATCCAACGTTGAAGCCTCCGCGAAGAGTCGGCACTCTAAACTCCTCACCAGGAGCAGCCTCAATGTCAAAAGTTCGAAGCATAGTAGCAACGACAGAGAAGACAATATCAGTGCCAAACACGCGACCAGGACACATATTACCAGCAACTCCAAAAGCTCTGACCTTACGAACGGCACTTCCAGAGACTTCACCCGCTTTGTTGATGAAGCGAGAAGCTTTGAAGGTCGCGGCATCAGGACCCCAATTGTCGACGTCCAGGTTGGATGCACACATTGGAAGCATGAAAATCTCCCCCTGAGGAACGGCGATGGGATCTGAGTCAGGGAGGTTGAGCATGAAATCGTGGCGAGCGATTCGAGCGACTCCTGTCATGTGCAGACGGAGAGTCTCGTACCAAGATGCCATGAGCCAGGGGCACTCAGTGCGAACATTGGCAAAGTCCAGACGCGGCTTGTCTTCTCCTTCAACATGTTTGAGCTGTTGCACCTCATTGAGAATGGTCTTCATCAACTCTGGGTCCGTCAACAAGTGGCGTGTAAGCCAGACTGCAAGAGTGCTGGTGGTTGCCAGGAGGCCTAGAGCTGAGACCATCTCAATGTGGTAGTAGTCTGGGTTGTTCTCCCAGTTGGGATCACTGTGGGCCACGACGTTGATGCTGTGAGCCGTGGTTTTAACACGAGCCTCACGGTGCTCGAGATGGAATTCGCGAAGCCTGGCGAGGAGGTACTTGCGAGAGTTCCAGGCTGAGTTTGCTGTAAGCCAAGCGAAGGGCCGTCCAAGAGTATCGAATGTCTCGCTGAGTTTCCTAAAAATTTGTTAGTATTTGCTGTCAAATTTAATTGAGTAGAACTTACATGAACTCGTTGGAAAAATCTTGGTCCATGCTCCAGGGGTTGGCAACTCCCCAGACTGCACTCGCTGTAGCAGAGACAGCCAACTCAAACACCCAACGTCCAACAAGAACTTCATTCGTCTCGGGCATCTTCATCACACGATCCCTAATGTTGTTGCTAGAGCGTTGATTGAGGGATACAATGTTCTCAGCATGGCCAAACTTTTGCTTATGCAAAGGCTGGGGGTTGTATCCAAAAACTGCCTTGATAGTATCCTCCTTGAGACCAAAGAGGCGGGGACCAACGTAGACAAGAACTTGAGCAAGGCCAGTGTCATTGACGTGACGAGAGAGAACTCGATCCATGCTGGGATGGCAGACAGTGATTCGTGCGAAGGGGATATTGATTGTGAAGATTGGTGCAGTGGTGGACTTGATCAGACGGTTGATGTAGCGCGTGCTGTCGATGGTCAGGCCAAAGAGATGGCCCAACCATGGAACAACACCAGATAGGCGGGGGAGGTTGGAGATGGAAGGGGTGTCATTGCTGGGGGACTTCTCCTTGAAGGAGCTTGGAGACGAAAGGAATTGCAGAAGACGGCGAGTCAGTGCTGGAAGAACATAGACGGCTACAGAGAAGAGTATAAAAGTGGGAATGAAGTTGATGGTGAGGGAAGAGAGGGCCTGGGATTGGAGGACGGAAGACATGTTGAGTTGAATCAACACTGATAAATGATATAAGAAGAGAGATATAGTTGTGTAAGAGTTGATGTTGTAGTTGCTCTGGTGAACCTCTCCTTTCGTCTGGCCATCACTTCCACTTATACAACTTCAAGATGGAACTTCTCCTCAACTCCAAACCCCTTCATCGTGATCGAATGTGAGTCTCGACAAATCTCTCCACCACAAAGTTCAGCCGTGAATAAGCCCAAAGATCTGGACTAGCAAACTCGCCATATCACATTCCCAGCTGCATCACTTATCACATGAATAATACCTCCAAGACCACCATCTATCGAATTTTCGAGCCACACGTACCCAGAAAAGACTCCAACACCCAATGAACTTGAAGAATCTTCATGTTTGTCGTTACACAGGATTCTAGATAGAGTTCGATATTGTTGGAAAGACCTATATGCAGTTGGTTCCCTTTTCAAAACGAGTGGGTGTACACGGCGATGCCCTCACTTGTGAACAACCCAACAGGCATTCTAGATCCGGCGATGCCTTGGAAGCTGCCAATAGTTCATAAGCAACGCCCAGCCTTGTACCGCCTTCTCTGACGCCTTTTCTTACGTCGTTATGTCTCGCATATTATAGGGGCAAAGAAGTTGGTGGCGTACGCATTTGGGGTTGGACCAACTTGTGCTGATAGCATGGCAATACGGTGAGAAGCCGTTTATCTGTGTAATGCTAATAGCCGTTACGCTTTATTTGACTTTCCAACGTCTAAGCTAAGTATATAGTTCTTCAGGAGACGGCAAGTCTAAAGTGTGTAGCTTTGTTAATAGGCTTCTGTACCTGAGGCCGGAGACACACTATAAACCAACAGACCAGCTTCTGGGATCTCCGAATGACCCCGTTCGTGTGTAACCATTCCGCTTTTAGACACTTTGGTTCAGGTTTCCCAGTTCCAAGTCTTTGGGGCATAGGCTAATTGCACAACACCCTCTTTGTTCCCTCAGCCCATGCAGACATATCGCCATCGAAAGTCTAGATCTACAACAAACAAACAAACAATATGCTTTCTCGGATCGGTGCGAATCCGGCCGAGTGTGACTCCAGCCAGGCCTTCGGGCGCCGAGGAGAACAACGCCAAGTATAGTCGGTGTGAGTGTTGGACGCCATGATTTGACAAAAGGGGGGGATATTGTTCTACGCTCCGGGTATTGGGTCTTGCTTCGATGAGATAGGTGACGCCTGTATCACCAAGTTCATCGGGATCGTCGACGGAGGATTAATCACACGCGTTGGTAGGGCTGCGACCAACGGTGGCGTGAATCTTGACTCCTCCAGCGGTGCACGATCCAGGGATCTACGCTCACATGAATGAGGACGTGTATATGGCTGCTCAACGGTTCTTGACTCTATTGGATATAGTGATAAGGTTGTATAACGGGTGTTAGTTATAGGATATGGACTGGAATGCCGTTGGACGTTGGCGTCGGGTTTGGCTGGCCGGTGAAATGGGACACTGCTAAAGAATCAACCGAGCTGAATGGCTCTGACATCACTTCCTCTCCAATATGACTTGAACTTGCTGAAAAGATGATCCGGTGTATTGTTTGCAAGCTGAGGAATTCTATGCAGTTGGATGTTCATATTTCATCCGTTGGAATGTTGTGATCGGAGTCGCCTCAAGACAAAACACGACTCAATTGACAAACTGCATATGTCTGAGACATGCTTCTCAATTAAGGAAAGACCAGAGTACAGTACTTTATTGGTAGAGCCACAGAGATGACATGTCATGTTTATTGCTCGTCTCAATTTATTGTCTACAGGTTTCCACGAGCCACTTGCACAAGAATACACATATCACGGGGACGATTTCTATAAGGGCACCTTTGACTGGGTATTAATAGCTTATCACAAAGTGATATTTTGTGCCAATAAAGCTCAGTGTGAAGGGGGTGTAAGCGATTTGAAGACGTGGATATTCGATGAATGTTGCACTTTACTCAATGTCGCAAATTAGTTTTCTCAACTACAAGAGAATTACCAGGGCATCACACGTTTGCTACAAGACTCACCAGGTTATATACTGTGACTGATGTCCAGAGTTTCATCCGAAATGTAGATGAACATCCATCCCGCTGATGAGTATTCATTCATACGGTGACTCAGTTTGAGCATTGGTCTCTGAGTACCAAGACGATACGCCAAGGGCGCGCCTTGAAAGGTTTCTCAATATAGAATATCTCGTAGACTAACAAGGATTAAATATGATTCCATTGTTTGAGTCAAAATGTCTCCATATTGTATCCTTTTTTGGCAGGGAAGTGACTCGAATAAAGTTTTTAGTGTCAAAATCGAACTGCGATAGCGGAGGCGATTGATAAGATAAGAATCACAAATATTCTCGCTCTCTCTCTTTCCCCTCCGAACCCAATTACACTCACTCACTCAACCTTGCATTTGTTCTTTTCTCCCGTAACCTCTTCCTACTTAATAATACACAATCATAATGGCTATGCGACTCCCCCTCCGAGCCCGATTGGCGTCCTGCGCTGCCGTCGCCCGTCCTCGGATCGTCCGCCGAGGTTTCGCTTCGCTACCAAATGCCGACGTCGCGTCTGATTCCAAGAGCGCTGCCATTGTGAATGAGCATGCGCCTTATATGGTTGCCACATATGCTCGTCCTCCGCCTGTGTTTGTCAAGGGAAAGGGTTCGTGGCTGTGGGATGCTGAGGATCGAAAGTTCTTGGACTTTACAGCCGGTATTGCTGTCAATGGCCTCGGCCATTGCGATCCCGAGTTTACTCGAATCTTGAACGATCAGGTAGGAAGAATATAGCTCAGATGGCAGAAGTAAATTTATAACGGTCAATTACAGGCTCAAACTCTCGTTCACGCTTCCAACCTCTACTACAACCCATGGACCGGCGCCCTCTCTAAACTCCTCGTCGAAAAAACCCTCGAGTCTGGTGCCATGCACAACGCTGCCTCAGTCTTCGTCTGCAACTCCGGCTCCGAAGCCAACGAAGCCGCTATCAAGTTCGCCCGCAAAGCCGGAAAGGTCGTCGATCCCTCAGGCGAGAAAGTCGAGATCGTCTCGTTCAACAATGGTTTCCACGGCCGAACTATGGGCAGCTTGTCCGCGACACCGAACCCCAAGTACCAGAAGCCCTTTTCGCCCATGGTCCCTGGCTTCAAGACGGGAAACTACAACGATGTCGCTGGCATTAATGATTTGGTCACTGAAAAGACATGTGGTGTCATTGTTGAGCCTATTCAGGGTGAAGGTGGCGTCACTCCTGCGACTGAGGAGTTCCTTGTTGCGCTTGCAAAGCGATGTCGTGAGGTTGGTGCTGTTCTTATCTACGATGAGATTCAGTCTGGCCTCGGCCGAACAGGAACTTTCTGGGCTCACGGTAACTTGCCCAAGGAGGCTCATCCCGATGTCCTCACAACAGCCAAGGCTCTCGGAAATGGTTTCCCCATTGGCGCTGTGCTTGTTACGCAGGATGTGTCTGATAAGATGAAGGTCGGTGACCACGGTACCACCTTTGGCGGAAACCCTCTTGCTTGCCGTCTGGCGCACTACATTGTCGGTCGTCTCTCCGACAAGCAACTCCAAGCCGACGTTCGCGCCAAGTCCGAGATCTTCAAGAAGCGTTTCGCCAAGCTCCAGAGCCAATATCCCGATCTCGTCACAGAGGTCCGTGGACGAGGTCTGATCTTGGGTCTGCAGTTGTCCGAAGATCCTACAGCCATTATCAAGGCTGCCCGTGAGCGAGGATTACTCATCATTAGCGCTGGCGTCAACACATTGCGATTTGTGCCGAGCTTGACTGTTACAGATGAGGAGATTAACCAAGGATTGGATATTGTGGAGGCTGCTATTGCTGCTACTCGATAAAGATAGAGTTGGATGTTAATGATTGCTGGCTAAAAGTGTTTGATGTTAAGACGAGAGCGAGACTAGACAGAAGGCTAGATACCATATACTGATTTACGTTTTGCAAATGCCATAAATAATACGAGATGAATGACACTTGGGAATGAGAATAGAAGAGCTAAGTTGAGTCAGTGGCCTTGGTAATATAAACGCGTTACGATTGGAAATCACAAAGTAATGGGGAAAACATGTCAGAATGTAGATTCAAATCAATTGATGGCCTGTGTCCGTATATAAAACGCACATCATGACACGCTCAACGCCAAACATCCTCAATATCCTATATCCCGTCTATGTAAATCTAGCAAATAGCATGTGTCTTGCCAGTCTTGCCCTGGAGAGAATGCGACTCGCCCTGAGATGTGTTAGTGAATGAACAACTGCCATAGAACGTAAACGACTTACCTTGTAAACAGGGTGGGCATGCTTTCCACGACCCATGGCAGAAATGTGATTCCTGATGTACTCCTCACGCTTCTTGATAGAGTCCTGGTCTGTTTCCTTGAGAAGACCGTGGCACAGCTTGACATCACAGATGAGCTGGTCACATCGACTCTTTGTAAAGTCCTCTCGGACGACAACACGCAACATCTTGACACCAGAGTTAGGAGCCATGGTGTAAGCTGGGACGACCCAACCTCGAGAACGGAGATGGTGAGCGAGAGCAAACTCATCGTAGTAGCGATCAGGATCACCGCCCTCTTCAACAGTCTTGAAGCGGAAGGCAACGAGGGGGAGACCAGCTCCAGATCGTTCCGACATGATGACGAAACCCAAGTTCTCAAGAGTTTCTGTGAGGTAGTCGGCAGTGCGGGTGAGGTTGCTCATGATAGCACGGTAACCATGCTTTCCGAGACGGATGAGCTGGTAGTACTGACCAATGACCTGCGATGCACCCTTGGAGAAGTTCAGGGTGAAAGAGGATTGATCGGCTCCGAGGTAGTTGATGTTGAAGACGAGCTCTTGGGGGAGGTACTCGGGAGATCGCCAGATGACCCAACCAACACCAGGGTACACAAGACCGTACTTGTGACCTGAGACGTTGATAGAGACGACCTTTTCACATCGGAAATCCCATTCTAGGTCA